AAAAAAAAAAAAAAAAAAAGTAAAAAAATACCTCATTTAAAGCCCTTCTGTTAATAAATAGTATATTTAGGGCCGTTTGGCTGTGCTACTTTTTGAATAAAAGTTTCATGAGGAAATAACCTTTGGTCGGCTTCCTTTAAAAGCTCTTCAAACTAGCAAAGAAATTCTAGAAAATTACCCAAACATGTCCAAAAGCATATACTTAGTCTCAGAAGCGGCATATGACTTTTCAAAACCGTGCCAAACTTGCCTTCCTTACTCATCTTCCCATACATTGGTTGAACCCGTTTAGGATACTTTCCGAAAGACAACAACCCTTTTTATCAATGTGATCAAGGAAAAAGTTCTATCCAAAAATAGAACTTTATAAGTCCAACACTGGAGCTATGTATAATATCAGTGTGACACCATTTAAAAGAATTTATTATTGAGAATAGAATAAATCATTGCACTTTCTTTACTTGAAATTCGGAATTCTCAAAAGCTTCTGAGGGGTTTATTCCTTTTTAGATGGCAACGTATCCCACTTGTGATCAGACATAAGAGTCTGTAATGCTCTGCCACTGTCAATTATGGTGTCCTTTTGGTTTGAAGTGTTTTTTGTCCAGCAGGACAATCCAGTTGCAGTAGCTTTGTTCTAATCTTCTAATTTGTCGTAAAGGACTCAACGTGGACCATAGCTCTACTCTATAGTTATAGCAATCAGGTCAGGATCTATACTAGATAAGAACAGTAAAGTTCGATACAACCTCCCCCAGGGAAGTGAGGTAGAAGGAACAGATCTACTAGGCCTTGAGAACTGGTTCCTGCAAAAAATATGAAAATTTGAGCCTATTTGAGCAACATATTCTGTTTTCAGTTAAGAACATTTAATTTCTATAAGTGAAGTTTTCAAATCTTTTGTTCACTCCTCTGTGATCCCGCTATTCTTACCTTGTAATAACTTGTTGTGACCCATTTTTATAATTAAAATGACATTTAATGGATTCAAATTGATAAATTTTCATTTCCTTATATTTGTAAATAAAAGTTTTATTTCCTATAAAGAAATCAGAATGAATCAAAACAGTAATGAAATGGTTTAAGTTCATTATTCTTCTTCTTCTTCTAATTACTTCAATCTGCAGGGAAGTAAGTAAGTAAGGTAGCAGGAACAGATCTACTAGGCCTTGAGTCGGGTTTGAACTCCTCTCCTCTCACTACTCTCTTTGGTTTTGCCTTTAAGAGGCCTGTAGAGGGATAATTTCGACTGCAAACTATCGAGAAAATTCATAAACTGAAGGGTGAGTTGATGCATACTGTTCAGCAATAGATTCATGTTAGCCTTTTTCACTTCAACTATTCCAATAGTTTACATTCAAGTAAAAAAAGGTATTTTAGTTGCTGACTGACTGATATATGCTAGATGAAATGGTGGAAGCAATTATGCTGGCATGAACGATAAACACCAGATTTCTCTTGAAACAATATCTGAAATGGTTGTTAGTAGAATCTACAATTCAAATAGCTGTCACTGAGAGTGATGAAATAGCTGTTTTAGCTATGGCAACAAACTCAAGAGTTTATGGGAAAAGGGAAATAGGTTAGCTCTATCTCTCAATTACCTATCTTTTGTTTGAGTTCGTTTTTCTTCCCTCCCTGGATCACAACCCTTTGTCCCAACCAGTAGCATGTGTGTCACCCAGGGCATAAGGAGGGCACACAATGACTTCATGTCGTCCCAACATTTCTTTGGTTTATCACCGCCAGAAAGGAAGAAAACCTGCCCAAGCAGTCATGCTAATTATCACGTGTAATAGTAGTACAAATCTTTGTACTTGAACTGATGAACAATTTATGAACTGAGTAAAAGATGTTATAACATATGGATTCCTAATAATGATATTCCTAATAATGATGATGAAGCCTACATGCAGAAGTAAATGATTGATCTTAATACCTGTTACAACTGATTCCTTAAAGTCTCTGCATTATTGACTTCCTGTTAATCATTGAATTGTCCTGGACTGAACGTTTTATTTCTCTTCCCATGGAAAAAAAATGTGCATTTCTTGTGTTACCAGAATAAAATTTGATTGCTATCTACAAGACAAATGTTTTATTAGGAATTTCATTTGTGTTCTAAATTTGGAATTAAAAAAATCATTTTTGACACCTTCCACGTACTCAGATTGTAAGGGTGTATAATCCCAGAGCAGCTCCTGGAAGTTTCTTTCTTTATTTTTTCCTTGTAGTGCTTCATCTTATACTGACTCAATTGAAAAATTAGTGAGGTTAGGTATACATTAATCTGATGCACATGATTAGTGTGAGTGAATCAGATGCCTAGTACTTTATATAGGGTTACTTTTTCTCCTAGTTTCTCATTTTTATTCACTGCTGTATGGATATAGTTAGTTCCAATCGTATTTTAAAATGAAGGACAGACCTTGGTTTTGGAAGAATGAGAATTGGAAGATACCTGGAAATGCAAAACTCTCTTCTCTCTAATATGCTGTCGTGTATGCTAATATTTTGATCATTGTGTGTTGATTAAGGGAAAACGAAGTCCACGAGTTGCAGATCTGCCAGTAGACACTTCTAAGAATCCGCATTTTCTTGTTCTAATCTCGGAGAACTTTATGGAGGCTCGTGCTGCTTTAACTCGCTCAGGAGTGATAAATTTGGCATCAAATCAGAGCCCTGTGAAAATGGATGTGACTTCTGGACCTTCCATTTCTGGTCCGGCTTCTGTTCCTTCCATTTCTGGACCAACTTCATCTTCTAATCCAGCAGGTAACTTTGCATGTTGAATGCTTAGTTTCTGTTCCTCTTTCATCCTCTCCCTTTATTAGTATTTGCACTTGCTTATTTGTGTAAACAATGATATGGTTTATATATACCCAAACTGCTCATCCTAATACACTTGCCAAAGAGAAATCAGTGATGTAATTAGTTACATGTATATTTCGTTGGAATAGATAATAGAATATGTATGCTTCGGTGACATTAGCTTGCCATTGTTAACTGATGCCCAAAATTGTCATCCAATATGTTCAAAACATGCAATGTTTGGTTTGCAGCAGCAGTTGATGATATGATGGTTTTCAAAGAATTATAGTAATCCCCTGTTTGAGCCCCATTTTTTAGAGAGGTTTTGGAATAGTGAATTTTTTTTTTTTAGAGAATGTGTGGTTAGAAAATAAGGAAAAGTTTTTTGTTTCCGTATAAAATTATTTTATGGGAGAATGTGTGGTTGAAAATGAGTTTTGGGAAAATGAATTTCAAGTAAAATGGGGGCTAAACATAGGCAAATATGGAGCTTGAAAAAATATGTTGAAGAGTTTATAGAACATAAAAAATGTTAGCCAGTTTTATTCCAGTGGAGAGTTGGAATATCACTATGAATAATTTGTCTTCGATAATTCTCATCAGAATTTTAACGTTTGTGCTTATAGATGCCGCTGACATTGCAATTTTTTTCTCTTCAGTAAATGGATCTGTCATTGGCCGGCAACCAATATCTGTTGGAAATATCCCTCCTGCAACTGTAAAAGTGGTAAGATGCATAACTTTCAAACTTTCGTTCGCTCATTCTAGGAAAAGCTAGGTGGTTTTGCTTTGCATCTCCATGACTCAGCAATTGTTGTGGAAGTTGATCCATCTTAAATTTGTTCAGGAGCCTAGTTCCACTTCCATAGTTGGACCTGCATTTCCACACATTTCTTCTGTTCCCCGCACTGCTCCTCAAGCTGTTCCAAGCTTACCAACTTCTCCACCGGTATCAACATCTCAAGAAATGATTTCAAACAATGAGAATGTGCAAGAAATGAAACCTCTTGTCAGTAATGTGACACAGCCCTTGCGTCCAGCGGGTGGTGCAGCAGCAAATGTGAGAATTCTGAATGATGTTGCTCAAGCACGTCAGGGCCTTCCATCTATGGGTGGAACACCTATGCTTTCAAACATGATATCCAATGGAATGGCATCTTCTGTTCCTCCTGCTCAAACTGTAATACCATCAGGGCCACTAGGTGCTGCATCAGTTGCTGGGTCGTTGCCAATGACAGGAATTGGCCAGGTTGCGCAAAACTCGGCTCCTGCATCATTTACCACCTCCACAGCTTCTAATATGCCTGGAAATCCTAACATTGGCCTGTCACAACCAATGAGTAATCTCCAAGGAAGTGTTAATATGGGTCAAATGGTACCGGGGATGAGCCAAGGAAACCTTCCAGTCACACAAATGGTACAGAGTGGAATAGTCATGAATCAAAGCTTGATGAATGGAAGTGGTGCATCTGGTATGCCAACTGGCGCTGGCCCTGTCACTGGCACGGGCACGGGCACGATGATTCCTACTCTAGGCATGTCTCAACAAATGCAACCAGGAATGCAGACTGTTGGTGTGAGTAACAATAACTCAGCGGCAAACATGACCCTGAATCAGCAGACATCAAGTACAATGAATTCCGCACAATCAAAATATGTGAAAGTCTGGGAGGTAATTATTAGATTTTCTCAAAAGAAATGCAGTTTGACCATTTCATGAAGTTGCTTAGGGAAGCTGTACATAAAAATTGCTTTAATGGTTTGTCTGCGTAATTTTTTAAACACTTTGGGGTGTTTTTTTCATAATTTTCACAGCTGACTGATTATACCCGTAGCCAATTGTGTTTTCATACTTAATGCTTGGGTTAAGATACTTCTGGCACCTCATGCTGAAAATTTGTGTTTCAAAGACTTTTCATAGATGGTGTCATTCTTTCCTTTTGGCCAAAATATCGGGGGAAAGTATTAAAGTGGATGATTAAATGATGCTATCATCAGGGTATGTGTAGGTTTTTGAATGAGTGTTATCTGTTAAATTTTATGAGGTTTAATTTAATCTGTAATGATTGATATTGGATGAGGTTTCCCCAGAGAAAGGTATACACATTTATCTAAACTGGAGTATCTGGTATTGAGATACAATTTAATTGTATTTAAATGTGTACCTTGCGTTATTCCATAACCTGTTGTGATTATTGTGTGCTAGTGGACAATGCAAAGGAAATGCTCTACAATCTGAATTTCTTTCACGTTTAGCAACTCTCACCAAGTTCGAGGTCAATTTTTTTTTTTGATAGGTAATCACGTAATTTTATAAATAAATCAAAAGATAATACACAAGGAGTGCATTATCAGTTTAAACAAGATAGAAACGATAAAAAATTCGGCAACCCTTCTATCGGACTAATTGTTACAGTCTTAAACCAACTATACAAAGTCAAGTAAAACAATTCCCTAAATTACTCAGTCGTCCGTATTTGGTCTTCAAAGCATCTATCGTTTCGTTCTCTCCACACACACCAAACGATGCATCTGGGAATGAGATCCCAAACAAGCTTGCTATTCTTATCTCGAAACTTTCTCTTACATGCCCACACCACCTCCTTGATACACCTTGGCAACACCCAACTCATATGTTGCGAAGCCAGAATATCATTCCACATCCAACGAACACCGTCACAGTGAATGAACAAATGATCGATCGTCTCGCCATCCCTCTTACACATATAGCACCACTCTGTAATACAATAGCCCTTTCTTCGAAGATTATCCGTCGTTAACACCAGTCCCTTCACCACCGTCCACAGTAAAAATGCCACCCTTGAAGGTAATTTACTTTGCCAGGGGAATGAGCTCTCCACAGGTTCCAAAACGGATCTGAAATAAACACGAACAGAAAACAAACCATTCCGTGCCTCCCTCCACCTGCTACAGTCATCCTCTCCTACCTGAATGTGCACATCATACAGAGAGGCCAAAAACAATGCATAGTCATCCAGTTCCCAATCATGTAAGCCCCTCCCGAAAGCAATGTTCCAGCTAGGATTCCCATTAGATATAGTCATAGCATCACTCACCATAACTGAAGGCTCCAAGGCAATGCGATGTGAAAAAGGAAACCGCACTTTTAATGTTTGATCTCCACACCAACAATCGTCCCAAAATCTGACATTCGTCCCGTTCCCCACCACAAAAGTCAATCTATTCTGAAAGTCACTCCATCCTTTCCTGATGTACTTCCACAAGCTCATCCCATAAGAACAGCGACCCTCACCCGAACGCCACCTCCCCTTCAAGACACCATACTTTACCCCAATAATTTCTCTCACAAGCTCTCCCTCTCCATTCCAAATCGCCACAATTACTTGCCCAACAATGCCTTGTTAAATAAAACAAGGCTCCTCAATCCAAGACCCCCAACCCTAACAGGGGAACAAACATCACCCCATTTGACCAAATGAAACTTCCTCTCTTTCCCCAACCCTGCCCAAAGAAAATCTCTCTGCATCTTCTCTAAACTATTTGCCACTGCAACGGGAATAGGAAACAAAGATAGAAAATAGGTTGGAAAATTAGAAAGCGTGGATTTGATGAGAGTAAGACGGCCTCCTTTTGAGAGATAAATACGCTTCCATTCCGCTAACCTTCTCCCCATCCTTTCAAGAATATCATTCCGATATGTTTACTTTTAAACCTCGCTCCTAACGGAAGCCCAAGATATGACATGGGCAATTGTGCTACTCTGCATTCGAGTATGGCCGCTAATTCCTCCACATTAGGAATCTCCCCCACTGGAATAGCCTCAAATTTGCCCTCAAACCGGAGACCGCTTCAAAACACAGAAGCAAGCGACGCAAATTCCTAATTTGCATATCGTCTGCATCACAAAAGATCAGCGTGTCGTCTGCAAATAACAAATGGGAGACCTGTAGATGACCAACCGCAAAACCTCTTAACAAACCCTCCGTAACAACTTTCTCAATCATTCTACTGAATGCCTCCATCACAATAACAACAAGGGGGACAACGGATCACCTTGCCTCAAACCTCTACTACTCCGGAAGTAACCTTCAGGGTTACCATTAACTAAAACTGAAAACGAAATCGTAGAGATACAGAATTGAATACACTTACACCACCTATCCTGAAAGCCGCATCGCTTGAGCATATACATAAGAAATCCCCAATTGACGTGATCATACGCCTTTTGAATATCAAGCTTACACAACATCACTGGGATCCCCTGACGTATTCTTGAGTCAATGCATTCGTTCGCTATAAGAATTGAATCCAAAATCTGACGCCCCTTTACAAAAGCATTCTGGAACATGGACACCACTTTTTCGAGAACCTCCTTTAATCTATTTGCCAACAATTTAGCAATGATCTTATAAACCCCACTAACCAGGCTAATGGGGCGGTAGTTCTTAATATCAGTTACTCCCGATTTTTTAGGAATAAGCACAATGAATGTGGCATTAAGACTTCTCACAAACCTGCCTTTTTTGAAAAAGTAATTGATTGTATCCATAATGTTTGAACTAACCACCTCCCAACAAGCCTTATAGAATGAGAACGAGAACCCGTCCGGTCCAGGGGCCTTATCATCATTCATATTAAACACCACATCTCTAACTTCCTCCTCCTCAAATGGTCTCTCAACCCAACTAGCATCCTCTTCGGTAAGAGTGAAGAAGTCTAGCCCCTCCAGCTCAGGCCTCCACACAAACTACTCCCGATAGAGATTCTGATAAAATCTCACCTGCTGAGTCACAATATCTTGTGGATCCTCATACGTAACCCCATCAACCTCCAACAATGTAATAGAGTTGTTGCGCCGGTTGGAATTAGCAACCCGATGAAAGAACTTTGTGCATCTGTCACCCTCCTTCAACCACAAGGCCCTAGACTTCTGTCTCCACGCAATCTCCTCCATCTCCACCAATTTCTCCAACTCTCCCCTTAACCTTCCACGCCCCTCCCTTTCCTCCCCATCCAACCCTCGACTCTCCTCTTGCCTATCCAGCTCTCCAATGTCTGACAGACACTGATTCTTGCGAACGTATATGTCTCCCACCACCTCCCCATTCCACTTCTTTAAATCCCCCTTCAAGGCCTTCAATTTCTGATGTAAAACATAACTAGGAGATCCCCTGAAATCATAAGAGGCCCACCAATTCCGAACTCTCTCCCCAAAACCCTCAACTTTCAGCCACATCTTCTTAAACCTAAAAGGTCTTCGTCCACTACCCCTTCTAATCCCAGATAACGAAATAGGAAAGTGATCTGAGTACACTCTCCCCAATCTCCTCTGAGTGACATCAGCGTACTTAGCCTCCCACTCACCACTAATCAAGAATCGATCAATCCGAGATTGAATAGGTTGATCGCGATTGGATGACCAAGTAAACTCTTCCCCCATCATAGGCAAATCCACCAACATATTTTCACTAATAAAATCAGAAAAATCCTCCATAGCCCCTGTTAATCTCCCTCCACTCGACCTCTCAGAAGGAAACTTGACCACATTAAAATCACCCCCAATGCACACAGGTAAGTTCCACCAAGCCATCATACTAGTCAGTTCATCCCACAGGCCCCTTCTATCCACATCTGAGTTTGGCCCATAAACTCAAATAAACATCCACTTAAATTTATCCCCAACATTACTGAAAGAAAGTGATAGAGAGAATAACCCTACACTAACCTTCTTCATTTCAAACACTCTAGTGTCCCACATGACAAGCACGCCTCCTGATGCCCCTGAAGCTCCAAGAAACTGATACCCAACATGCTGTCCCCCCCCATAAAGAACTCACAACAACCCTCGAAATGACTTCTAACTTCGTTTCTTGTAAACAGACAAGATCGGCCCGCCATCCCTTGAACATGTTCCGTACACCTAACTTTTTCCCAACTTTGTTGAGCCCCCGCACATTCCAGCTAATGATTTTTGGGATCATCTAAACTCTCCTTCCTCCCTCCCCAACAACCCTCTCTTTGACTCACCCCTTTTAACATCATAGTTTATCAAACATTCGAGCCGCTTAAGCTCACGGTCTCCTTTTCTTCTTGCTTTTCCTCCTGGTGAACACGTCTCATGTCCCCTACGAGTCTCCAACTCATCAAACAAGTGCATAAGGTTATCTTCATACCCATCACAAGACACACCCACCATCTTGCTAAATTCCTGAATTTTATGGAAAACCCAATTTGAAACCGGAGGTCTAACATCAAGCGCAGTAACTTTTACTATCTTCCCAGCATAGCAATATCCAATAGGTTCAAATATCTGTCATTCCCCCTCCTCCACTCGGGCTGTACCCTTGTCCATTATTCATTTTTTGGCACACTTCTCCCACACTACTATCGCTTTTTCGTTCCCTAACTCGTTTTCAATAAGAGACTTTGGATGCCTCCTATTATAAGTGTTCACAATCATAGTAGTCGAGCCTGTCACCACTTGCTCTTGTGTCGGTGCCGGACTTGATTCCTCTGCCATCACTATTCGGGTGTGTTTTTCTGTCAACCCAACTCCCTCTACAGCTGTAATCATGTCTCCCTCAATTGCAATTGCCCCGTTTTTCTCAAAAGTCTCATTTGGTGTCATCACAACCGTACTCTTTGTTCTCTGTTCCCCTTCCTTCGATGAAGGTTCCTCCTCCCGAGATGCCTCATACACCGAGTATTTTTCATCCATATCAATCCCCATAATCTCTTCTCCCTCGTCATCTCCACTACACTCCACGTCATACCGAAAGTATGTAATCTCCATCAATGGGTGAGTGATTTAGCAAGAGAGATCTCGAGAACAAAGTAAATGAAAATTATCTCTAATAAAGTGTTCTTCTTTATGCTGTTAACTGTTATCTAAGTTACTAAGGTATCTTTGATGTAATGCAAGGCTTAGCATCCTCAAAAAATCTTATGATGAAATGGTCCAGGGTAACTTATCTGGGCAGCGACAAGGCCAGCCTGTGTTCATCACCAGTCTGGAGGTATGTTTCCCATGTCTAAGAAGAGATTTCACGCTATGGATAATTGTTTTATCTGTTAATTTGATGGGAATCCCTTTTTTTGGATACTCCTAAAATTTCTCATACAATGTGGCATAACGTGCATGCTACAATTTGGTTATATCATTCTTGGCGTAAACATTCAGACATTACTTCTTATCTTATATTCTGCTCACTTGTTCCAGGGGTATAGAAGCGCTTCAGCTTCCGAGACGTAAGTCTACATATTCTCTGATGCTTTTCTCTCATTTTGCCACCTGTTCCATGATTCCTCGCAGTTGTGCTGTTTGGTAGATTATACAAATTTATACTAATGAGAAAAAGGATTTTGTGCTGCAAAGCTGTCTTTCTAAGGTGCTAACTGCTTGTTTCTTTGGTGATTAGTGAGAGGAAGTTGTAGCTTCCGTAATGTGTTTTGCAGTAGAGATGTGGATTTATCAGTATGTCTTCTTGATCAGGATGAAAAGAGAAAATAACCATAAATTTCTACTTGCCTCTTTCTAAAATGATCTAGTTTACACAAATCCTTTCAATTCTTTAAATATGCACCAAAATATCTTGCGGTTATGGCCAACTGTGTGTCAACTATTATTGTTAGAATATATTCCACGACGTCACCAGTTGGTTTTGAGATAATACTTCAACATGATTCAAGAGCTGGGAATGGAAGGCCCGCTATCAAGTCCACGTGTGATTGAACTTTAGATTTACTTGCATCTGGACTGGTAACAAAGAAAAAGGCCACTGTTTTAGGTGTTTTTGTCGTCAAAGTTTCTCGTGAAAGAAATATAGTTAATGAGGAAAGAACTAAAGATTTATTTGTTGACTTTCCCTATTTGAAAAACCTTCCCATTTAATCACTCTTCCATACTGCTTCTTTCCCATGCATATGATGGCATCTAAAAAGGTACCCCAATCTCCCAGTTGTATTTCTGTAGCAAAATAATGTTAACCAGTTATTCGAATATTTCAGATCCATATACTGTACAGTTCTTTGCTTATTATTCTACATGACATCTGAAACATTCCTCATCTTTATTATTCTGCATTATCAAAGAAAAACTTGTCTCAAACGGTTTTTGCCCCATCACTTTGAACTTCCAATCTATTATGTAGCATATTCTTCACCTAACTCTAACCTGGTAACTAATTATATTCTAGATGTTAAACCTGGTAAAAAGTGGACGAGCAAGGGTTCCATATACTGTGGGCTTTTGTATGAACTGTATCTTCATTCTTTCGCAGTAGTTCTTGTGGAAACCCATATCCATATAGGAATGAAATTGTTCTGGAGAGAGAAAATGAGTCATAACAAGAAGAATGCCTAATATACTTCATCTTTTCACATTGGTATTGCACTTTTGGCAATTGATATGAGGGACCAAAGTCAATGACTAAAAGCATGAGGAGATTTTTAGCTACTTGAGAAAGCGGAAGGGAGTATATGTATGTTCCTATTGGAAATTTCTAGATAAAGCTACGGAGAGTGAATTATTCTTTCAGCCTGCTAGAAAATGACTCAAATTGAATGAGCTACTGGTGCTGTGAACAAAATGGACAAAGAAGAAAGAGAGAAGATTAAACAATAGAACTAGTAGTGCAGATTAGAAATCAAATAAAGTATATTGTGCATAGGATCAATGATGTACATGATTGACAACTAAACCTAAATTGGTGGCTGAACTTGAGTCAACAGCAAGAGTTTAGATCTTCAAATAAAGCAAGACTGTAGATGAAATTTCTGAAGAATTGATAAAATAAGATGCACTAATATGATGTATATTTACTGCTTCAGTTTGGTGGAGATCAGAAAACCATGACGTCTTGAGGCAAATTGAATTGATTTAGTGCTTTTTACTTTTAGGAACATTGTAGTGGTGATTCTACCTTGTGATTTTGACATAATGCTTATGTATGCTTTTGCTGGCATCATACCAAATGAAAATTTCTTGTCTAATTATTTTGTTTTTTATTTCTTGGGGGGAGGGGGTTATTTTTAATTATGCATAATCTTTTAGTTGGTAATTCAGCATCACTTAAGTAGCATTTTCTTTTTCCTTTTATTGGCTAATTATGGCCCTTCTACAGGCTTGCTGCAAATTGGCCACCAACAATGCAAATAGTTCGGTTGATATCCCAGGACCACATGAATAACAAGTAAATTCCACTTATTGGATGTGCTCATTTGTTAAATAATCGTTTTCTCTTGTATTTTACTTGCCTAAAATGTGTTCTTATCTTGAGATAGGCAGTATGTTGGAAAGGCTGATTTTCTAGTTTTTCGTGCAATGAATCAACATGGGTTTCTAGGGCAGCTGCAAGAAAAGAAGCTTGTAAGTTTTCTCTATGCTAACCTTGATTACTTGATATCACTTGTTAAAAGCTCGATGAGAATAATGATAAGGAGCATCATATAAATCCCTTCTAAATGTAGTAGGTTATGTTGGCGAACTTGAAGAAAAATATTTATGAGATGAAAGTTTTGTGCTTGAATTCTTTGCACCTCATTTTTTCTTAGTACTATAGTAATTTATGTGGTGGTTGGACTATGAAGAAGTACTTAACTATATCCACTTGATATTCTTCTTTGAACAATGTTATTTTCTGTCCATATGATCATGCAAGTGCGGCTCTCATTTTATGTATGCTTCTTGGAGCTGTTAGGCTCCAATGTCTATGAAATCTGGATTAACTGATAGCATGTACATATGTATTTAAGAAATTTGGGTCAAGTATGAGTTATTGTGTGAGTTCGTACTGTCTATCTGGCTTCCTTTTGGTCCAAGGCTGCAGGTTATTTCATTATCCTTTCTCGATAGATATCCTTCACGGATGAAAGCTGCCTTTGGTTTATGGTTTCTTCTTTGATTTATGTTTCTTTTTTCCATTACATTAGAGGTTTCCAATACTGTATTTTGAGAATTCATAAAAAATTTAACTAAGCAAATTTATTTCAATGCAATCTTTTTCTTCATTGAGGTTGGTGGAGAAGTCTAGCCTCTTTCATGGCTCGTTGGGTTTCTGAAAGGAGACTATTGTTGTTCTGCTGGAGAATGGCACTTTGTGAATTTTCTGTCGCTTAGAACTTTAAAAGAACATTCAATTTTTCTTGGCTATCTTTATGCATCCTACAAGTTATTTGAAAGAAAGGCTATTATTTCATTCGTTCAACACACATTGTGGCTAACTTTTACCAAGTCCAGAAAGCCAGCAAAATTGGGACTGCCTTAGTACTGTAGCTCTTGCTTGTCCTGTACTTTAGTTGAGACTGTAAGCAGGCTTTTGGCATCTCTATGCGTCAAGAAGGCCATTGAACCCACTGTGAATGATCGCTGTTGTAAACTCACCATCTCTTCAATTTCATCAATGACTGCAATTATATTTTTTTTAACATGATTTAGTTAATTTAAGTTGGTTGTGAAAAGAATTTGCCTGTAGTAAGTGAGAGTTGCCCACATGTAGAAGATATTGACTAAAGCATTCCCTTGTTTCATCATGGACTAAGCCAGAGTTGCCAGAGAATAAGCTTATGATGTATGCTTCATTTTATAAACGTCAATTGAATGGTTCTTAAATAACAAAATCTGGGAAACTAGTCACGCAACATAACATTAGAGTGCTTACATTGAACCCCAAAGATAAAGCTGATGATTTTCCTTATCTAGTCAAAAGAAGTTTTATACTGTAAGTTTTGAATCAATACATCAACACAACAAGCTGTAACCTTCTGACTTGAAACTCAAGCTATTTGTTATTTGAGAAGGGATGTTTGCTCTTACATTATACAGCATTAATCCTTGGTGAAACGAAGGAAGTTTGATAATTCTGTACTGCCTTTGCAATGTATGAAGAGAGAATATTTCCTGAATCTTGAAGACAGAAATCACTCAGTGATGGTGATTTCATACCAGAATAAGGCCATTCTCCTTTATCTTATTTAACCTCTGCCCTCCCACAACAAATTGGATGAAGCCTGGCGAAACAGAAGTGGCCACTTTGCTGAGGCTTTGAGAAAACATGCTTGTTTTCCTTCAAACCCCTTTGGACCTTCCTTCACAACTTCTCTCAACTTTATTGGAGATTTTTAGCATCCCGTAAGTAGTTGTAGTCCTCCTTTTGGTATCAACTTTGGAAGCTCAAGGGGCTCTGCTAAATGTAACTACAGGCAACAAAGATTCTGGGGTGGGGGGATTAAGAGTGATGATGGAGATAGTCGACCAAATAATTCTAGTCTGCTGATTCAGAAATAACAAACAAAATTCTGCAAGTTTTGTTGCCTTAACAGCTTGAAAACACAAAAATTTAACATGTTGAATACTCACTGCTCACTCAACCATCAAGAGCATAAGTTTTGAAGATGGATGTCATCAACTCATCTCTTTCCCCCCACCCCAACCCTCTCAGGTGGGAAAAGGAGCACTGTAATTAGAGTGAGGCTTGGTTCAGTACGACTGTGAAAGGGACAGTGGACAACACACCATCTCTCTATTTTTTCAACTTATTTCCTTAACAACCATGCTACATGTACAACCATGAGTTGGCAGGAGTTTACACCATCCATTTTAAAAACTGTTTTTTAAATCATCAACACAAATCTTGACAATACATGGATTGTCAATAAAGATTGTACAAATAGCTTTATTCTTTCCTTGAAACTTATCTTGATGAAGTGTCTTTATTCAAATTTGTGCAATTGATAGTCTGACAAGAATTACTGTGTTTTTCTTGTTTGGAAATTTTTAGTGTGCAGTTATACAGTTACCATCACAGACATTGCTGCTCTCAGTTTCCGATAAGGCATGTCGTTTGATTGGAATGCTTTTTCCTGGGGTAATATATTGCAAGTTTATGTTCACTTTTCTAAAAATAGACACTGAATAACTTCATACTTGTTTTCCACTTGGTCTCATTGTCTATGACTGAAGCCTACGTACTGATAATTCCTCGTGGTTTCAGGATATGGTTGTATTTAAGCCACAGATATCGAGCCAGCAGCAACCGCAACAGCATCCACAGCTTCAGCAACAGCAACTGCAACCACAACAGCAACCCCTTGCACAGCTTCAGCAACAGCAACCTCTTATGCAGCAGCAAACTCCACAACTACAGCAGCAAACTCCACAGCTACAGCAGCCGCAGCAGCAGCAGATGTCGCAGCTACAGCTACAGCAGCAACAACAGCAGCCACAGGCAATGGTTGGTACAGGGATGAATCAAGCTTATATTCAAGGTGGGGGACGATCACAGCTATTATCTCAGGGACAAGTTTCATCACAAGGGCAACCGAGCTTGCCTGGAGGAGCCTTCATGAATTGACAAGTCTCTCTGTATAGAGTATTGATTGATTTATTTCAGCAGAACCTTATTTATATTATAGTTTATATAGTTTGAAAATGGCTGTTCTTGATTCTGTCTTGGCATTTGGTGATTATACTATACTATGAACAAAAAAAAAAGGTGTTTAATTTAATCCTGTAGTTTTTAACACGAACTAGCAGCTAGAATAATGGCTTGATGATCTAAACCCGAGTACAACAGCTAGATATTGATGAAATAAATCTCGAGCATCATATTTCAAGTGATTTTTTGCACTTTTAGCTTCTTGCCAGAAAATCCAATAGTCAGCTTCAAGCGGATGTTGTGGTTGTCTTGAGCAGCACCAATATACTATAACACACAACCTAACAGTGATAGAATATCAAATAAAATTTATAGAAATGTATGGTAAACATCATTAAAAGTTGTCAAAATAGATGGAATGATTTGAACGAAGTTCTCCCCAAATAATGTGACCGCTGGCCGTAAAAATTTGTCAACCTTCTATATCATCTCATCCTTGACATTCTGAATCACAAGTATGATATGAATCGTTTTTTATATGATACAAATACAGCTCTTGTAGAAGCCCACTCCTTGGCCCTTGGCTAAGGGAACACAATTGTCACAATGTCAAATCAATGGATCATCTTCACTTTCTGCATGCAAGTAACAACAGAAGTTCAGAAAACAAATTTGACGGCCTCACGGCAAAACCCTAATGAAAACCCGAGGACCCGAACTATAACCCTGACAATAGATTGACGACCGATAGTACATTTTTTGGGTAAGTATTTCCATTCTACTTTATCAAATAAGCATCGTGAAGGACAAGTTACATGACATAAAGAAGTCATACCGACCCTAGCAGTGTGCAGCCATTATGACTGAACTGGTGAAAGAAAGGATTGGATTCCAAAAACAATAAAAAGAACTCCGCCCAAGAGTGCAACCTGCATTTACAGCGCAGCATTATTGTTACATCTATTAGTGAAAGCAAAAGAAAGACAAAGGCAGATCCAACTCCTGCAACTTACTATTCTCTCAGATATTGAAGTTGCCAAACTCTTTCCTCCAAGGACAGCAGCAGTAGTACACAAAGCTTGTCCTCTGACAAAAAGGTAAACAATTCAAATACTATTTATAAAGTTTAATGCCTTTCCACCAGAGAAACGGAAGTAACTATATAACCCAGGTCGTACTGAAGTATAACCCAGGAAGCACCATGTTTTTCTTATGCAATATAGACAATAATTATAAGCAACTATACGTAAGCCAATTTTGCACATCATATAACCGAAAGAAGTCCGAATTCTTGTAACTCGGGAAATGGGACAAAACAAAACCATTTTGGAATGAAGTGGGCCTTCCTTCTGTTTGAAAGAACTTCCTTATGTCTTATGTTAACAAAGTGGGAGCCGAGTGCTTCGTTTGATGGAAGCACGAGGTGAGCTGCAATACTTGATTCTCAGGACTTCCTTCTGTTTGAAAGAACTGCCTTTTGTCTCATGTTAACAAAGGTGGGATTTTATGATCATTAAATTTTACATCAAGAAAGTTCCAGTTTTCCTTCACCATTGCATTTTTGGTCTAAATATCTGTGTTTCCAATTGCTGGAAATTTTCTTTTAGCACTAGCTTTCTGTTTTGTCCACTAAATTAATTATTTAGTCTCGATTTCGGGATTCAGAGTTAGTTATCTTGTTAATTTAGAAAAGAAAAAGGCACTCCACCTCTTCTGCCATGTCTAGTGTCAACACTTAACTTTTGAAGTTGCTTACTCTAGATTTTATTGGCTCAAGTCCCTTAAAAATTCATATTTTTGCACTCCTGTTGGCAGTTTTTTATCTTTAGATTAATACCATTTATGGCACAGTAAAAATATAATTATCTCCTGACAATGGAAAATTAACCAGATAGCATCCTTCTGGGCCAAAAGTGCTTTTAACAATAGGTTACACTTCTAAATTTCTATATGATTATGAACACTTTTTATCGATACGTTGGGCCCTAATGACATTAACTATTTTATCTTAATTGAATAAGGATAAGGATCAATTTTCGGAACAAATATTATTGAATTTTTGTATGAAAAATAACGACCAAGGATAATTGGCATGTTGAATTCGTGGGGATCTCCACTTTCTATCTCAAAAGTAAAATGCTAAGGACTCCACGTAAGTAAACCTCTCCTCATTGATTCGTCAGTTACAACTTTAAATGTATATAAATGTTACGTATAAACTTGCTAATAAGTGAACTTCTTTGATTGTTCTTTATGTGTAGAGGTAAATTAAGTGAAACTTGTTTGTCATGATTAATGGCTCATACATATAATCATATTGATACATCCATGAGCATGCATGGGATGTAGACTGATAAATGATATTATTGGAAAAGACTATTTTGATAGGATATGTACCCGATTTTTTTTAAAAGTGGTGGTGGACCAAGACAACAAACTAATGTTGTATGTTTAATGTTAATAGCTTTACGGTACTATCAATAGATTTAAAGGATTTCAAGTAATAATGACCTAATGAATTTTGATTGGCTACACGACACTAAAGTGAGTTCCCACTGTTAATGTAACTTTTTTCCAAAAATGATAAAGAAAAAGAGATGCATATTTTGAAAATCAATTCTTTTAAATGAATGAATATCATAAGCATGCATAATGTGTATAAGGCTTTCTTACTCAGTATTAACTCATGCCGTGCTATCCCCTTATTTTTATTATTAAATGATAAAAGGTAGATGGTTCGAGGTGACTGCTGGTGCAAGATGAATTCAGTATTGTCCAAGCTAAATATTTTATAACCTCTAAAATAAAATACTTTGAATCCTTTCACGTTATTTGAATTGTTTTTAATAAATCATTTCAAATTATGTAATTTTCCTTTCGGTATTACTGTGATCATAGATAAAGAATTTTAACTTTTTATTATTTCTATAAGTTATTGTATGGAATTAAATTCACTGGACTTTTATTATGTTCAAAAGTTTTATTTTATCTACTTTTCTTCATTATTATCTTAAACAGTATTTAAATGTTAGTACTTCTATGTTTAAGGTTTCTAGATTTGGGGTGTTATAGCTTGCTTTTCAAAACAACTATAATGTAGACTAGTGTTCTATGAACTACTATATTTTATATGTTCTTAATTTTGAGATGAACCAATTGTTTTAAGATATCAACTACTGTTATCTTTTTGTCGGTTACTATCTTAGTTATCTTTAATAATTAGTTTTTATAGTCGTGGGAAGAATTATTCCTGATATCGGTGTCATTAAATTGTTTGGAGAAATGGAATGTTCACGTGTAATATAAGAACTTAATGGTATTATTCATAGATTATACATGTTCATTGGGAGAACACGTGAAGAATTGTAGGTCAATGACATAATAAAACAAATTCCTTTTAACATAATTTTAATAGGATCCTAGGGTACAGTTATATTTCTGCAGTGCAGTGAATATTTGACTAAAATTTATCTTGGGAAAGCAATATCCTTGGAATTCATAAAATATTATTAGAACTACGACTTTTGTATGGGTCCTTGTGTTTTGGCCAAGCTACTAGTGGTTAATAGTTATTGCACTATCTCGAATTTGTGGTCTAGAGAACTAACGATGTTGAATAATTAATTTTAATTTACTAAAAATAATAGAAATCGATGTGGATAAGATAATCTTAAGTGTAGTAAGAAAGGACTTATTCAATTTGTTTGGTTTTTGATATTCTTGGGAATAGAAATCAAACCATGATTGGATGAGATAGAGTTTTGACTTGTTGGATATAGTTAACGATTCCAAAAATAATTTAAAAAAACAATAGTATCTTTCCACGAGGAAAAATGGGGTAGATATCATCCAGATCATTGGCCTGCCTATGTTTTAATATGACTTCAATTAGGAAGCTGGTCATGCAAATCTTTACCATGCACTTAATCCAAAAAATAGCAGCACAAATTTCACAAGCGGAGGGACTTTTTGGCATGCATATCCTCCTCTAAATTCAGATTTTTCGGGCAATAACTATTAATCTTTTGGACTGATTTTGGTTTCAGAAAAATCCCACAATACTCTCTTATTAATAGTTTGAGACCTAAGAAAAAATTCGGCATATAGTACAAAAGTTGCCTTTGTTTTATGAGCACTTCTCAGAATTTTTTATTTTCACAACTATTGAGGTCTAACTCTTCCCTTTCCTCCCATCTTTAATTAAAAGAGTGATCATGTGCTTCTGCTGCAGGCTCTTGATTCCAATACATAGTTTATGTTCAAGCCCATATATAAATGTGTGTTTTTTTTCTTTTCCTTCTTTTTTTTTTCTTTTTTTTTTTCCCCTTTCGTGCGTATGTGAAGAGATATACAGAGCATTTTAAGCACTATTTTGGTCCCTAAAATTGCGATGACATCGACAACACAGAATAACAGGAATGACACGATAAACATCACATGATAAGAAAAATGAGGACAAGGAAATATGTTGTTCATCCAGGTTACTTAAAGCCACAAGAAACTTACATGATTCCGCCAAGGACAACACCTAAGGGATTCTCATCGGCAGCCAAACCAATAGTTGCGAGCTGGAAATGTAGTTTATGGATTGTTATATTGGAAAAAAGCAACAGTAAATGGTGGCAGGCAATGTAATCATAAACATTAGACCAGACTGTTGTAGTGTTGTGTGCTTACCTGGCTCTTATCACCCCATTCCCCAAAGAAAGTAATAGAAAATGCCTGCAGAAAGAGAATGAAATTTAACTTAGAGGTTCGTTGCATAATAGTTATTTGAACATGGTCCAGTTTAATCAAAACATTATGAAAACCTTCAGCAAGATGGGTGAGAAGAATCGAGCCAGAACAGGACGATTTTGCTTCTTCAAATTGTCATCATCCTGGAAAGTTCCAAAAATATCAAACATTCTCATCTGACATGGACAACAATTTATCTTCACATTTTTAAATTTTTCAATAATTTAAGCTCATAACTT